GTATTGCCAGGGCGTCGGCCCGTTTGTTCCCCTCCATGCCTGTGTGTCTCGGTCTCGGTCAGCGCTTTAAAACTCGAAAACCAGCTTAAGGTCGGTTCAGACACATCAGTCACGTCTCGTCACAGTAATTGCGAACCAAACAATCCGTCATACAAAATATTCTTTAATACAAATATGTTGCCGGAATTCACACTCATCAGTTGACAAACAGTTTCCCAGCTGTCAGATAGTTGATAGTTCTGTAGCCAAACAGGACCGGTTCGGCGCCGAGACTATGACGGGACTGATGTGTCTGAATCGACCTTTACAGTATCCTAAATGATGCTAGAATGCATCTAATACATTTCTTCATGTTTTTCAAGAATTTATTATGGATTCATAATAACGGATTCATAATTATGGATTCTCCGTCAATTCTTTGCCTTAGCTTTGCAATACTTGCAGGTTTAGTTTTATAAATTTTACTTTTAAGGTATGACAAATAAAAATAATCTTTAGGATAAAAACGAGTGAACGAGAAAACATCCGGAAAATGCCTGATCTAAAGAACGCCGAACAGTTACACCAAAATAAGCTAGAGCTTCGTTTTCTTCAAACCGCATCTCATTAAAATTGGCTCCAAACTTATTTTCCACGGCAGATACAATTTCATTACTAAATCGTCTTCTTGTGGTGCCTATCCGTTACTATGTTGGCTACTAGCATGGCAATTCTAACTTTATTGACCGCAGCTCGAAATAGCCCTGAAGTGGTCAAGGAAAATCATTTTCGTAAGTTCTGGAGCCAAGATATTCTTCTTTTTCCTCTTCCTCTCTTTCCGGAGACCTTCCCCTGTAATATAAGTTGGAGCAGGTTATACCTATGATTGTTTCGCATTATATGTCGCAAAATATTCTAGCTTGCGCTGTTTCACTGTGGATATACTTTCTCATGTTTTATCCATTCGACATAGAACCTCAATGTTTGTTATTCGATCCATCCAGGAGATCTTCAGTATCCGTCGATAACAGCACATAGCAAACGCCTCGAGTCTTCCCATGAATGCCTCGGTTAGTGTCCATGATTCAACCCCATAGAGCAGCACTGTAAATAAGTAGCATATCAATAAACGGATTTTCGTTTTTAAGGGTAGGTCGTGGCTCTTATTATTAAATAGCAGTTCATAAATATTTAAATTTCCTTTTATGGATATTATTTTATAAAAAATGACCCAATAGTACCTACTATTTCCGATCATACATTCAGTTCTGGTGGCCTTTGAGTATTGTTTTCACGTATCCACTATGGAGTTACCTCACTTCGATACTTTAAATTTCCCCGATTTACATTCCCACAGAGTGTAAATATTGCTTCGTCGGAAAAAAATTTTTACTCAAGTTCTCATCATTATTATTACATCACTAAAATGTAGTCTTCAGTCGTAGTAAAATTCATTTAATTCTTGCAACAACTGGATTTTGTAGGGTTTAAATTAATTCTTATGTACAACACGTAAGTCTGAAGAATGACCTAAATCATGTATTTTGCAGTTTTGCTTAAGAATGTATGTGGATTTTTGTCGAAACTCTGCATTAAATCTAAAGTTTTTTAATATTTAAATGGAAATAAGTAAATATTAAAGGTTAAAGTAAATTTATTGACGTTTTAATTAACACTTCGTAAGTTGTTCTCAAAATACAAACATTTCTCAAAACTAATGTTTGTATTTAGAGAACGATTTCCGAAATGGTAATTGAACCGTAAATAAATTTACTTTAACCTTTAATTGTTGCTTATTCCCATTTAAATAATAATTACTTTAAAATGGTACATTCTTTTTCTTATAGTGCCGTGAACCTATAATGCGTTGGCGAATTATCTTAAGGTCTGACGTCTGTCTTTTGCGGCATGCAAAAGATTAAATTTAATAAAATCTTGTCTTGCTTGTTCGGTACGGCAAATTATTTCTTGTTGAAGATCTCATTGGTCATTCATGATCAGTCCCAAGTATTTAAATGTTTTCACTTGGACTAAAGGTTTAATTAGATAAATTCGAATTTAGACGAAATAAGTTTTCTTTCTGGGTCATATAGTTACTCCTGAAGGCATAAAATCAAACCCCAGTAAAATCTAAGCTATTCAGAAATACCCCTATCTAAGACTGGGAAAAAAATAAGATCCTTTTTAGGTCTTATCGGCTTCTACTGACGTTTCTGTAAAAACTTTGGAAATATCACTTCTCTATTCACGATATGTACACGAAAAAACGCGACCATTGATTCCATTAACCCAGACTTCTTAGAGTATTGGAAACATACATTCCACAGTCAAAACAATATTTTGCAACAAACTATTACAAGATGTCGAAGACGAAATAGAACAGATAGAATGTGTCAAAAAATACCTACCACACCACAATAATCACAATGGAATAGTAGAAATTTACAAGTATCTGAGACATAAATTATACTTCCCTCCACGCAAACTACAATCTCGAACTTTATTAATACGTGTGAAATGAAAGACAACCGTACAAACTGCCACAATTAGGACCACTCTTGGGAGAAAAACCGTTCAAAATACTACACATAGATAAAACTCTTTATCTGACAGTTGTAGATTCATTCTCTAAATACGCTCAATGTTACAAATTACCTGACAAAACTTCAATATCCATTTTCAGTAAAGTGAGAAACTATTTCCCACATCATAACTATCCCCAAAAAATTGTTTGTGACCCAGGCACATAATTCAACTATACCGTCATTAAAGAGGGCTAAGTACAAGGGAGGCTCTGTTTGCAATGAACGTTCTCTCACAGAGATGCTTAGACATGAACCAAGAAATTTACGCCTGCTTTATTGATTTCGAAAAGACCATTGACAAAGTACAACATGAACCACTAAGACAAGTTCTAATAAAGAAAAATATAGACAGCCGAGATATTCGAATTATATGCAATCTATATTGGAATCAAACAGCAAATGTCAAGGTTGAGGGCAGACTAACAGAAGAAATTCAAATCCGTCGAGGAGTCCGGCAGGAATGTATCTTATCGTCACTTTTATTTAATCTGTATAGTGAAGCTATCTGTGAACAAGCACTTGAGGAAGAAGATCTTGGTCTGATAATAAATGGTGAGACGATCAACAATATAAGGTATGCTGACGATACAGTTCTCCTAACGGGAACGCTAGTAGTAGAACTACAACTTCTCGTTCAAAGTCTCAATATATACTGTAACAGTTACGGCTTGAAAATTAATTTGAAAAAAACTAAATTTCTGGTAATCACGAAATCAAAGAACATCAGATCTAATCTTGTAATAGACAATACAACGATTGAGCGTGTTCTCTGTTATAAATATCTAGATGCTTGGATCACAGACGATACTGAGCAAACAAAAGAGATTAGACGTAGAATAAAAATCGCTAGATCAGTCTTTAATAGAATACGCAAACTCTTTTGCAATCGTGATATCAATATAAAGTTACGAATACGAATGCTGCGGTGTTATGTCTTTTCTACCCTGTTATATGGAGTTGAGGCTTGGACACTAAAACAGTTGACCATAAAAAACATCGAAACTTTCGAGATGTGGTGCTATGGGCGCATTCTCAGAATATCATGGATGGACCGCGTCACTAACACGCAAGTACTCCAAACTTTAGATAAAAGATGCGAAATTCTAAATGAGATAAAAACTAGAAAGATGGAATATTTGGGGCACATTGTGAGAGGTCAAAAGTACGAACTTTTAAGAAACATCATACAGGGCAAAATTAAGGGCAAAAGAAGTGTGGGAAAAAGAAAAATATCGTGGCTTCGTAATCTACGTGAATGGTTCGGGTGTAATTCGATTGAACTTTTTAGGTGCGCTGCTAACAAAGTTGCAGTGGCCATGAAGATTTCCAATCTTCGCTAGGAGTGGCACGAGAAGAAGAAGAAGTCATTAAAGAATTTTTAAACATCCATGAAATAAAAATACATTTTACCACTGCCAAGAACTCATCTTCAAATCCAGACCTAGAATGCTTTCACTCTACACTTATAGAAAAACTTCGCACATTGCGTGCCCAAAACCCCAACGATTCACTAGACGACGAAGTATTCACAGATACCGTTTAAATCTACACCAATCCATTCACAGTACTATTAATCATAGCCATAGTTCATAACCATTTTCAATCCATTACGGTCCATACGCTGAAGAAATACATTTCGATTTTGACCTTCCAGTATACGAAACATACCACCAGAATCACAAAGACAAATTACAACCATTCATCCAAGAACTTCACAACAAACAAAAAGAAAAAAAAAACACAGCACTACAAAAAAAGTGATATCCAAAGTCGATCTTTCACGATCTTTATATGTATCTAAGAAAAAACACAAACCGAAATTACAAGCTCCTTACTCCATAATACATCCCAACAAACAAGAAAAGATGAAAACAGATAAAGAAAACAGATAAACAAAATAATTCAAACGTTCAGTGGAAAAAGGAATTCTTCCAGTTACTTGTTGTTAAATATTATTTGGACTTCCCGTGGTTTTAGTAAAAAAACTCAAGACCGTAGATAAAACTATTTAATACTTCCATGTAAATGTTATAATATAGAAAAAACTTAATTGTTTGTAATAATACAATTAAAAAATATTACAAATATAACTAATATACTACATATTATTACATCGATGACTTGAAACAGAATGAATGCCGGATAAGGGATTGGTTGGGTAGCCAGGTACTTTCAAAAATATGCCATAACGGGAATATCTTATATTCCCTTCGCTATCCCTTATAAGATGTTGTCAAGCCATACTTGCGCCATGCAGAAGACGACAGGGCCGTCGTGAGGTTTACAGTTTTAACACTAGGTATCTCTGGGACATCCACATAAGGTAATGGAAGTTACCAATAATGAATACTATGCCGAATACATAGGTAATCTCATGAAAATATATAATTGTATTTTAATTAATTTTATTTACAAAAAAAAAATATTAATTTTCTATTACAGTAAAGGGGTAAAGTTGAGTGGAAGACCACATTTTGATTGAAGAACCAAAGATTTTGGTTCAAATTCTACAGGATTTGGTGTAGCACTACATCTATGAACATTAAATTCCATAAGAATGTTTGAGAGACAAAGGCTGACAGCCAAAAGTCCTAAACGCTTTCCTGCAAAAAATAAAATGTATCTTTACATTAAAATTTAAAAGCAATTTACTTTAAATTGGCACTCATTTTTAATTAACAAATGGTGCTATTCACATTTTATGAGCTTTATTGGAATTATAAGTTCATGAAATCAATTTTGACGTGTTACAAAATTAACTTGCGAGATATAAAGGTAATAGTGGTATTTTTTGGAAAAACTAGTGTATATAAATAATGAACTTTAGAAAAAATCATCGAGCAATAAGACAAAAGAGGGAATGTAAAGGTAGAAGGGTAAACATATTGATAGACAGGAAGTGCCATCTTGAGAGGCCACTTTAGACAAGGATAGAGAGTCTCTCTCCTTGTTTGACATCAAATTTAGTTGGGTTATGTTATTGTTTGTCCCAAATGTCACATGAAATCTTATTTATATTGAAGTTTTTTAACAATTGTGTCGCATTTTAGACTCTTATCATTAATAATTAATTAAAACTTTCTCGTCTAAGACACATTTTGAAAAATATTATATAGCTACTGTTGATAAGTGTCGAAAAATTTAAATTTGGCGCCTTTGCATTTCCGGATGTGTCCGCCATCAGAGGCCACTTTTTTGGTCTCCTTTTTATAACGATTAGATTCCCTCTTTTGTCTTATTGCTCGATGGAAAAAATAAAGCTTTTGTATTTGACAGTGACAGTGACATTTTAGATCGAATTCATACATATAACGATCATGAAATGAAATCAAACCGACATCTTGTTGTACAAGGGACTATCTGCAAACTATAGTATTTTAATAATTAGGACTACTTACCTATGCAAGTCTTTTGTCCTTCACCGAATGGAAAAAATGTTAAACCATTTGTATTAAAATTATTGCTAACGAATCTTTCTGGATCAAACTTTTCAGGATTCTCAAAATAATTGGCATCTCTCATTATAGCAAAAAGGGGAATAAATACTGTCATTCCTTTTTCAATCACGAGATCTTTACCTTCGATCTTATAATCTGCCGCAGCTATTCTATCCAAAACTGGCAAAACTGCATATTTTCTCATAGTTTCTAAAATTAATTATACATAAATTATTCTCAGCTTACCATCTAATGTAAAAATTAATCCAACTCAAAACTTATGGGTAGAGCTGCCGTAGCCAAGCTCTTATTGAAAATTGTAAATCTTTTACACACATACATATATATATATATATATATATATATATATATATATATATATATATATATTATATATATATATATATATATATATATATATATATATATATATATATATATATATATATATATATATATATATATATATAGCTACTAATAAATTGATTACATATTACCATTAATAACCATTTCTAAATATTTATTTTTCTGTATTCCTTCGTATGTGAAGCCATTATACATTTCATAGTTATCCTTTACTTCATTTCTTAACTTGTTCTGTATATCAGGATGAAGAGCTAATTCATACAAGGCATAAGCAATTACCGAACTAGTCGTTTCTTGTCCAGCTAATAATAATAATACCGAGTTGGATATGTATAATTCTCTTTCTGAAAAAGTAAACAATATGTGAAAAAAGAATTGGAATATAGTTATTAAAGCCAAAAAAGTAACATAAAAATAATGTGAAATAAAAAAAATTATCATTAAATTGTTATTAAATTTCGTAATTGAATGTTCTAACAATAACCAAATTTTTATCATATTTAACACGTTCCACAAAACGACCACATTAAAAGACATAGCAAAAAGTGTTAAATTAAAAATAAACGCTAAAAAAAATGGAAATACTTTTAAGCAAGAAACTGCAACTATACAAGTGGAGAACAAACAAATAGAAGAATAGAAGAACAGTTTATTATGTAAGAAATAAAATGTAAAATAAATACAGCTTACCATTTTGGAACAGAACTTGCAAAATTTATTGTCCCCATTTAGCTTTAACTCGTAAAAGTACCATATCCAAGCGCGTTTTAGATTGGTAGACATATTTAAATTTATTATATTCCAAAATACATATTCCAAAACCACAGAATATAGATTTACTGATCATCAATAATACAACGATCGAAAGACTAACAACACATAAATATTTAGGATCTAGAATAGAAATGGCAAGAAAACACGTTCATGAAATTGAACTTACTTTGGCAACCGTAACCTTAATCTAGTGATCCGCATAAGAATGCTACATTGTTACGTTTTTTCTACTTACTATACGGCATGGAATAAAACAGTCGGCAATCAAAAACATTAACTCCTTTGAGATGTGGTGCTACAGGAGAATCCACCGAATATCGTGGACTGAAAAGGTAGCTAATATAGAGGTGTTTCAAAGCATGAAGAAAGAAAGTGAAGTAATAAAAACTGTTACAATTAGAAAGATTTAATATCTGGGTCATATAATGAGGGGCGAGAAGTACGTATTACTTATAATTCAGTAAATTTGTACTGTAAAGTGATACTAGTAGGAAAGTTTTGGGGAAGTTCTGATTTTTTCATTCCATATCTGTTTTGGGGTGCTAAATCTGAATACGAGGTTTGCGGACAAAATTTCGTGACGCAACATTTAAAAAACCAGAAGAAATCGTTTTTTTTTATTCTTTTTCCGGTTTTTTGCTTAAATCTCGCGGTTAACTTTTAGTAAATGGTCTGTTTACAGAATTTAAAGTACTTAAAGTTATGTACACCTACTGAACAGACTGAGTTTAACGATACAAAATATGTCATCGACGGGGGTTTTTTGTTACACCGGGTAAAATGGCGCCAAGGTCAGACATATGCAGACATATGCATCAGTTATGTATCATATGACAAATCAAACTACAAATCAAGTGCTATTGTCGTTTTTGATGGCTACCGTGACGAGGCTTGTGGTAGCACCAAGCGTTTAGAACGATTGAGAAGAGCACAAAGAAAACAATCTGCTGCAATATCATTAACAGAAATAATGGTGCCCACTGTGTCGCAGGAAAGTTTTCTTACAAACAAAAAAACAAGAGCCGGTTTATATCTACGTTAATGGAGAAACTTCATGATGCAAACATTCATTCAAAGCAAGCTGTGGAAGATGCTGATATCCTAATTATCTTAACAGCTCTTGAGATGGCCCGTCAAATGAACATGTGACAGTGGTGAAAGAAGATATCGACCTACTGGTTATTTTGATTGGCGTTTGTAGCCCTGATATAAAAAATGTATTTTTTTGAAGCCAGGAAAAGGAAAGGTTTCGCAAAGCCTCTACAACCCTCATCTGGCTGCTGAGAAAATCCTATTGGATCATATTTTATTCCTGCATGCGATGAGTGGTTCTGATACTACTTCTGCATTGTTTAATCAAGAGAAACTGAAGTTTCTTAAAGTCCTGCAGAAGAACAAAGATTTGCAATCGCTAATTGAATCTTTTAAATAGCCTAATTCAAGTCAAGACGAGATTGCCACAGCAGTAAACATGTTTCTCACGGCTCTATATGAAAAAAACAAAAATTCACTGAGAGTTTACTATCAGGTGTAGCAGTTGTTATCCGGTCAAGCCACACCTAACGAGCAACAAAAAGACCCAAGTGAGTGGGGATGGCAAAAAGCTAGTAGTGGTCTTATGCCAGTAGCAACTACTTTGAACGCTGCACTAAACTTAATACTCCGGTACATTTAATGTAAATGTAAAAAGGGCTGTCAACGCAATTGTGGATGCAGGAAGGCGGGACTCCATTATTCCCCAATATGCGCATCATGCGAAGGACTGTGTAACAATGTTGAGCCTCCAGAAGACAGCTCTGACATAGACGTAGAAGAAACTGAAGAAAGAGGGAGAGGTATGTTGGATCTGACAAGTTATTTTGTAGTCATTCATCTCTCCTTGATATATCATATGTATCTCTCCTCTTTTTATTTTCCAGGAGAACGACTCCCGACGCGGACGATGGAGCAATCAGACCCTGAGCCAGGACCCGATGCCATCGAAGAACCTCACTACGATGCGGAAGGTATGTTTAATCTCACAATCTATTTTGCAATCTTCATCTCTTCTTGATAAATGACTTAACTTTAAACTTTTATTTTCCAGAACAAGCAGAACCAGGACTCATCGTTATCGAAGAACCTCAGCCAGGGCCTTCCAAAAGACAACGGCTCATATAAATTTTACATATTATAATTTATAATCATAATAATATATGATCATAAGTAACGAGATTTTAAGTTTTATTTTGTTACGAGTTCTACCTCCCTACTGAATTTGCATAATTTTTCCCTTTTTACTTTTTAATTACTTGTGTGGACAACTAGGTGATATTTATCAAATGACAGCATCCATAAAAGTTAAATATTGAAATGTAAAAAGTGGGTTTTGCATAAAATGCTAAAAATTTACAATTTTCAACTCGCACTAGAAACCGAACGGTCTGAAAAAAAAGACTAAATACTGGTATTTGTAGAAAATGTCAAGTACTTTAATTTCTGTAAACAGACCATTTATCAAAAGTTAATAGTTTTCGAGTTTTAAGCAAAAAACCCGAAAAAAGAAGAAAAAAAAAACGGTTTATTCTGTTTTTTTAATGTTGCGTCACGAAATTTGGTCCGCAAACCCCAGATTCGGATTAAGCACCCCAAAAAACATATGGAATGAAAAAAATCAGAACTACCCCAAAACTTTCCTAGCAAAAATACAATTTAACTGAACTATTAGGTTAATTATGCAAGGGAAAAGAAACCCAAGACGACGCAAAATATCCTGGCTAAGAAATTTGAGAGAGTGGTTCAGTTGCAGCTCATTAGAATTATTCAGAAGGACGGCCAATAAAATTAAAATAGCGATGATGATTTCCAACCTCCGATAGGAGAAGAAACCTGGAGAAGAATATGCCAAACACTTCAAAAACACTAAACACGATACAACGTTTACTTTAGTTTATGTAAAGTTGACAAAATAATTATATTCTTAAAAGCAGTTACATACCTACGACTTGCTACGCTAATAAAATAATACTTTTTTGAAAAACCTGTAAATATTAAATACATTTAATAGTGGGAAATCCAAATTAATAATGATCGACATAAAATAAGATAAAATTTCGACGATGTACGTATATATGTAAAGCATTAACAGGCCTTTGCTGGATGGATAATTTCCATCGTTTTCTATTCTTAGCTATCAGCTTCCAATCTCTGATTCCCATCTTTCTGATATCTTCCATCACTACATCTCTCCATTTCTTTCTTGGTCTTCCCCTCTTTTTGCCCTTAGGTACTCTCCAAGTAATATGCTTGACTAGTCTATTACCTAGCATTCTTTCTAGATGGCCGAGCTATTATAGTCTACATTTTTTCACCACTTTTGTTAATGTAGGATTAGCATACAAATGGTACACTTCTGCATTAGTTCGTCTTCTCCATTCTTTCTCTACTACTTCCACCAAACATTCTGCGAAGTATCTTTCTTTCCCATACTTCCAATGTGTTCTGTATGGTTTTGTTCATAGTCCATGTCTCGGCAGCGTATAGCATTGTGGGTCTAATTATAGTTTTGTATCTTCTTATTTTTGTATTACGAGATATATCTTTGGCCTTAATTATTTTGCTCGTGGCTCAAGCAAACCTGTTGCTTTTAGTCAGTATCAGGTTGATTTCAGTTTATTCTTTACATGTCTGATCAAGAAGAGTACCTTAGTACATGTATTCATCCACCTTCTCGAATTGTACAACTAATCCATCCTTCACCTCCAATTTAAAGGATCCTCTGGTGTTTATTCCTTTTTTGCTCAAGATGTCCATATACTTCGGTTTATTAATATTAAGTTTCAGTCCCATTTTAAAGCTTTCCCGAATCAGTCTTTTGCTATATTTGATAGTTCTTTTCCATTTTTTGCAACGAGAACCACATCATCAGCGTATGCTCATAAACATTGGTGCTCATTTTTTAAAATAGTTCCGGACCTATTTATCCCACTACCCTTACACTTTTTTCTAGAACTATACTGAATAGTGAATATGTTGCTTGTGTGAGTCCATTTCAAATAGGTAAAGAAATAATAAATAAGACTTACTCACAATCAATTTAATTTAACTATCAGACGACCGGTTTCGCTTTCTACAATATGCAAAGCATCTTCAGGTCTCGATACAAAGTTAAACAAATGCTGAAATGATAAAAACCTAAGGTGTTGTCTAATAAAGACAAACAAAGTAGATGTTGGAAATTACAATAATTATGCCAATATTACATGTCTGTGGTTTTATTTCACAAAGAGTAAGTTGAATAAAAAGGTATACAAAGTTTTAAAAGTTTAAACAGACAAGGTAAGGCCCACAAATTGTTATAAAATAGTCTATTAGATTGTAATAAATTAATAAATGAGCAAATAAATAAACATTACTTACATGCCGGTACTCTATTAATTGATAGATGGTAGAATATGGTTGAAACTACTATGTATTGTTGAATGGAGAACTCAATTCTGCTATTGTAGTTGTATGACAGTAAACGGGAAGTTCTTGAGGAGATAGATTAGATCCAATGAAGCAGAGATATGTGTGTGATTGTTTGTTAAATGAAAGTGATGTAGTATACCATTGTATTATTAAAAGTTATTTATACTTATTCCAAAAATGTGGAATTATTTTTTTAATTAATTAAAAAAATTTTAAAGTGTTACTTAAAACAATTGTACAAACTCACCATTGTTCATGTCGGTGTGAGGAATATCTGTTCATATGACACGAAAAATTGAAATAAGGATAAATTTACTTTATACCGGTTTAAATAGAAGATCTTCTTACCTGTTCCTATAACAACTTCAGGTTCCAACTGTTAGATATTAGAACTACCAACTAATTATTGAAGGCTTTATAATTCAGTCAATTTTTTGAGCCCATAAATTAATTACCATCAATAATTATCCATTTGTTGCTTTGGTTACATATTAATATATCAGATATTAATATATTAATATATCGGAATTTGAATTAAATATCTAAAATATTTAAAAACACCAAGACAGATAACTCACACCAACAATAATTTTTAAATAAAAATAAAAATAAAAAACTTTTGTAAACTTGTTATATACCTGATTATAAAATGTACATGTGCAGTGGCCAAAGAATCACTTTAATTTAATTTGTACAGTAATTTGGACATTAGACTGAGTTAGTTATAATGTGGGATGTTTTTCAATTACTTGTATTGTTACATTTAAATTTAATTAATTAAAGATTATTAAAGTATACCAATATTAAACACATCAATTTACTTTTGATATCTTACTTGAAACAATTTATAGACATTCATTAATATCAGCATATTTCATAAAACTGGATAACTTAATATTGTTCTGAAGCTATTTTCTTGTGGCATTGTAAATTAATTACTATTAAACTGGGAATAAGCCACAATTAAAGATAAAAATACGTTTATTGACGTTTCAATTTCCACTTCGGAAATCGTTCTCAAAATACAAACAGTAAATTAAACAAATGTTTTTTGTTACATAGGGAAAAAATTCTTCTAATAATTTAATTTTATCTGACTCATTTATATTGACAATTCAGACATACATTACGCATTTTAAAGTAGACGGCTTTAAAATGATATTGCCAATATTGTTGAGTTGCGCTCCTGGGACGACTTTACTTACAAGATAGTTCATTCGATTACATGAAATCAACTTTAACTTGAGAATATTTGTCAGAAAAAAATCATAGCATGTTATTCGTCTTTAAAAAGACAAACACATGACATGATGACAGTAAAATTTTCCTGTTAGTGATTCCATAGTAAATTATGAGGGAAAACCAGGAAAAAAAACCTCATAATACTATCCCGACATTGTAAGTATTTGTTCGTGGTTCAAAGAAGCGGCTCTAATTATGCTAAATGAGGCTAATTGTGTTGCAAATTCCTCGGCAGAATGTAGTAGGATCTGGTTACCAATATTGAAAGAGGAAGTTATTAATAAGAAAATACCAGTATTAGTAAGTCAGTAACATATAAAGGATACATCATTTATGTTTTTTAAATAACGTAACATATAAAATCAGAATTTTGATGTTTGTTGAAGGTAAACTAAATTGACGAACAAATACTTACAATGTCAGGATAGTATTATGAGTTTTTTTTCTGGCGGATAGGAGCGCAAATCAACAATATTGGCAATATCATTTTAAAGTCGTCTACTTTAAAATGCATAATGTATGTCTGAATTGTCAATATAAATGAGTCAGATAAAATTAAATTATTAGAAGAATTTTTTACTATGTAACAAAAAACAAAATTTGTTTAATTTACTGTTTGTATTTTGAGAACGATTTCCGAAGTGGAAATTGAAACGTCAATAAACGTATTTTTATCTTTAATTGTGGCTTATTCCCAGTTTAATAGTAATTAGATAACGTAACTTGCAGTATTGAGAAACAGAAGAAGAACTGTCACATGCTAACCTACATCTGTCAGATTTGCCACTAAAATCTAATAATTAACACATAAAAAACTCATTGTGCCCAAGACTGAAATGTAGTGCATAAAAGTCCTTCCCCCTTTTTAAATTTAATGTTTGTTTCGTCCCTTCTAAGTGTTTTCTGTTTTATTGTGTTTTAAATTTTCCTTAATTGTTTTTATTCTAATATTTTATTTACCTGACTTTCCAATAACCTACTTATTTTGCCAATAGAACTTTATCAAAAATATTTGATAACTACAAGTTGAAAAATAATTGCACACCCACACAATTTGTACATCTAAACTTATTCATTGTCATAAAATTGTCACCTTCATAAAACAATTACTCAATAAATAACACACATTTCATAAATATATCTCTGGAATAAGTATAAATAACTTTTAATAATACAATGGTATACTAAATTCTCTCTACAATAAGTGGGTGTTATGGTACGCTGCCTGTACGAACATTACAATAAAATTTTAAAAAACGGTAGGTACCTTATATCTATAGTATCCGACGTAGTAGGTACAATTACTAATACCGGGTTTAGCAAAAATATTTAGAGGGATAGAATAGAATGGCACATTATCATTATGTATATTTATGGATTCACGAATTAAAGTGCAATGATTTTCTGATAAAAATGAAGCTAAAAACACCAAAGAAAGAGTTAAGCAGCTGGTTACTTCTATAATTAAAAAACAAGAAGATTGTATTATTGAAAATCAATCAGTACAAGAAAAAGAAATCGATAAAGATGACTTAGGTGTTTTTGATCAATTAATTGGACCTGACTCATCTAAACGTACACCTGTATCGAGAGGCCATTACAATGGTGGAAAAACCATCGTCATGTATATCCTAACGTAACCACTATATTCATAAAATATTGTAAATATAAACACATGTTCAAAATCTGATTTATTGTTAGAAAAACCCAGTTAATAAGAAGTAAAGTAGAAAAGCTAATGTTTTTAAATGTTAGTTTAGACGATTATTGATTTAATAATAACGTGTAATGTAAATATAGGTACGATTTACTATTTGTATTGTTTAGTTTATTTTTTCAAATTGTAATAAATATATCCTTCATTAGTTTCTTTCACTTCAATAAATGTACACATAAACGATAATAGCGATTATGTTTGTTTATGTAGGAACTCGCTTACTTAAAATTATTGTTAAACAATCAACTAAAATTACTTGTTACTAAAGTTACTTGTTTGACAAAAATCGGTTCAGTTGCGTTATCGATAAAAACGTCAACGACCCTTTACTCGTTACCACTGTCCGTAATTTCACGACGCAAGACGCGACGTTGCCAAATAATTTTGTATGCAGCTTTTTTATTGTGGCGTCATAATGCAGTTTATTATTTTTATTGGGAATAAGGCACAATATGACTTTAAAATAAGTTTTTTAAGCTAAATTTTGATGTTAAGATTTTTAATTCGGAAATCGTACTTAAAATACGAAACATTAGTAAATTTTATTTATATACAACGATTTCCGAAGTGGAAGTCAAAATGTTAAATTACACCTATTGTAAAGTGAAATTGTGGCATAAAAAAAATAGTAAGCTGTCATTTAAATCCATTTCCCTAAATTTAATTATCTTAGAACATTGTTTAAATGCTAAAAAGACAACAGCATGCATGCATGTTCGGTGATATAAAGAGGGGACCTAATATACCTCTCACTTTTTAAACAGATGTTTCTCACTCCATCTCACGTAAAGTCCATACCGACTATAAACTTTTACCTATACTGTATGTCATTCATAACTCTTAACGTGTTAAAACTAATGTTTATTACAATAAATTATTATACTTACCAAATTCCGCTTCGCTTCGGTTATTCTGTAAATCATTAACCATGTCTACCATATTTAAAGGTTTTCCGCTATATCCCGTTCTTGATCTCATCGCTGATATAAACGTCTCCCTGAAATATTGTATAACGTCTTGCTGTATAAATTCTAGTCTTAAAAATTTGGCCATGCTTTGTCTTAAAAAATAGGAGCTTTGCACAAAGGCATTTCTTAAGCTAAATTCAAATATTCGATGTACATTTTGTCTATATAATGATATACTAGAATCAAAACAACGAGGGTCAGTAGCATAGAAGCAACGAGCCATCATTTCAGTGGTAAAATGACTTGCTACAAATTTAGCATCCACTGTACTGGAAGTTGATTTTAAATATTCAACAAATCTTTGGCTGATGCTTTCCAATTCGTTGAAAAAAGTTTTTGTCATTGATACAGTAAACAACGAAGATAATTTCTTTCTCGTATGTTTCCAGTAAGGATCTTTTTGGAAAAAGACGAATTTGGAGATATATTCATGATGATTACCTGCATAAACAGATCGATCAGCAAATATATCATAATTCTTTATAAGTATATCTTTGATTAATTTGGGTGACTTAATAACCAATACTGGTTTATCGAACACGAAAATACCAAAATAGTCTCCATCATTTTCATTATAAAGTTTTTTTATTAAGTCAGATAAAGTTATTTTTAACGTAGCCACTTCATACAAACTGCCAAAAAATGGAACTGGTTTTGGACCACGGACACCTCGAACTTTCCAGTAATCAAATTTTCTCGTAAAATATTTGTATCCAAAGAATAATATTCCAATACAAACTACAATGAAATTAATTATCCACGCAGAACTTGGAAACCACATCTGAAAAAAAAAAATTAAAAGAATTAATATAAAACCGTAAACTATTTTCGAAACCAATTCAGATTTCTGCTTTGATAGAAATCTAAAATTTGCATTCCACGACATGTCTCATTAACTAAGCAGAAATCCTTAGCAAATTGGTTTCTTGTACCGGGTGGTCCAATAAACCGATCTCTCGGCTATATATCAGAAACTATTCATGTTATAACTTTAGGAGATAAAATTCCTTAATAAAAGTGGCCAAGAAAAATCGCTGGAAATAACTTTCAAGATTCTGGATTAACCGCTAGTTGGCGTAACCTGCGAAAAAAATTTTGAAAACCAGTTTTTTGGGAAATATGTCCAATTATACCAAGTGTTAAATAAGTAAACTAGAAAGGGGCATAAATTCTGCACAAAGTTGTTCAAGTACTTTTTTTTATTTTTTCAAATAAAGGGTGGGGGAGAGTGGGAAAGTATTTGTGGATAAATACCTATAACTTTGGTTTGGTCCAACCGATTTTAATGAAATTAGTGTCATTAGAAAGAGTGTCGATGAATTAATTCACATCTACTATAAAATACTTGCATTTAGTTTTCATAGTCGTAGGTAGAGGAGACTTTCAAATAATAAAAATTAAAATTTGTTTTTCTTCAAAATTTTTATTGGAAACACCTATTTATTATAAATTATAATGGAACTGGAATAAATTCGTAACAAAATGGAGCAAACCTTATGTTAATAGCTTTTGTTGAACTCGAGATATGAATAAAAACTCATTAACATAAGTAAGTATAGTATTGACACACCCTGTATTATAAATTACATTAAAAAATAAGTCAGTAGGTATTTTCAAATTTTTGTATAGCAGAAGAATCTTAATGTTAATACCTATTTTGTAAAAAATAGTTTTTTTCGAAACTAAGTAGGCTACGACAATGAATTTGACGGGGAGTTCATATTGTTTATTTATTGACAGCAGTCAAAACATTGTTAAGAAGTGTATTATTATAATTTGAATTAAAAATTGCACTTTTTTCAATAGATATTAATATTGGTAATATTAGGAATTAATTATCAGTACAAATAATTTGTGATGAGTATATCAAATTGTATGATATGATTGGAGTTTATTTCGAATGTCACCAAAATGCCGCTATTACCTCACGTATATATTTTGTAAGATATAGTGACAGGAGACATTATGGCAAAGAAGTATTTGAAAGAAAGGCAAAAAGATTAAAAAAAACTGGTAGTTTTTCTCGTCCTTGTTTTAAAACGACGTAGTAGAGTTATGACCGAAGATAATTCAATCAATGTTCTTGCTTTAATTCAACAGAATCCACATATAAGTAGTCCGAAATCTCTACTTCTTTGCCACAATATCTCCTGCCAGGATATCTTACAGTATACGTGAGGCAATAGCGCCATTTTGGTGATCAAAATCATGGTATTCAAAATAAACTCCAAGCATATCATAAAATTTGATATACTCATCACGAATTATTAGTACTGATAATTAATTACTAATATTACCAATATTAATATCTATTAAAAAAAATGCAATTTTCAATTCGAATTATAATACATATAACACTTCTTAACAATATTTTGACTGCTGTCAATAAATAAACAATATGAACTCCCTGTCAAATTCATTGTCGTAGCCTACTTAGTTTCGAAAAAACAATTTTTAATCATATGAAATAACAATGGTCAAAATAGGTATCAAATTAAGAGTTTTCTGCTATAAAAAATTTTGAAAGTACCTACTGACTTATTTTTTAATTTATTTTATAATACAGGGTGTGTCAATACTATACTTACTTATGTTTATGCGTTTTTATTCATATCTCGAGTTCGATAAAAGCTTTTAACATGCGGTTTGCGCCATTTTGTTACGAATTTAATCCAGTTCCATTATAATTTACAATAAATAGGTGTTTCCATTAAAAATTTTGGAGAAAAACAAATTTTAATTTTTTCTATTCGAAAGTACCCTCTACCTACTACAATTAAAACTAAATGCAATTATTTTATAGTAGATATAAATTAATTCATCCATACTCTTTCTAATGACACTAATTTTGTTAAAATCGGTTGATCCAAACCAAAGTAATATGGATTTATCCACAAATACTTTCCCACTCTCCCCCACCCTTTATTTGAAAAAATAAAAAAAAAGTACTTGAACAACTTTGTGCAGAATTTATGCCTCTTTCTAGTTTACTTATTTAGCACTTGGTATAATTGAACATATTTCCCAAAAAACTGGTTTTCAAAATTTTCTTCGCAGGTTACGACCTCTAGCGGTTAATTACAGATACATAGACGCTTTGTACGTGAAATCAAATCTTGAATGTCTTTTTATTTTATTTGGATATACTTTGTATGAGTACAAGAAACCAATTCGCTAAGGATTTCTGCTTAGTTTGTAACATTTTTTTATATAATTAAAATATTAATTATTTTTATTCCTTTTACCCATGTGGATGATATAACACGAAATTTCCCTAAATAAGAAAGGTTATTAATCCGTTCCTTCTTAATCCCGAGTATGAAAGAAACTAATGCTTTTCGGTATGCGGGTTTGTTTTCATAAATTGGTAATTTTCATCGAAGGCACGTATAGTAATCTTTTGACAATAACATAATCCAAAGGATTGAATATTTGATCACGTCCAATTACTAACACCTACCGTAAGTACCTCAAACTTTTCGATGCTCATTAGAATATTTTTACCTTCTCAGAACTACATACAACTGGCCTATGATTTCTAAGTTGGAGATATCTCCTTTTTTTCTTGGGTAGTTTGTAAAATTTTAGAAAGACCAAGTTACTTCTCGGTGAGCCCTTGTGGAGTAAGGGTGATTTCTCGTAAGACACTTTGCTCACGTTATTTGTTATCTTACCGTCTGTGAATTATTTTCTAAGTGTGTATACACTTGTTTATTTGAGCCTTTTCGATCTGATACTATATTGATTATATATAGTTCTAAAGTAATGTAATTAAATTCAGTGTTTGATACAAGTAAAGTATTAAGTACAGTATTTAACTTCAGTGAATTAGGCAGCAGTCGTCAGGAATTACTGTAAGTAATCTTTATCTGTAAGTAATTATTATCTGGGCGAGTAATATGGTATAGTATCATATTATCTGCAATCGTCTTCACCTGTAGATTGCTGATTTTTGCATTCAATTTAAAGAATATTAATTAAAAGAAACAATTATTTTATTCGGTGATTTTTTAGTGGTTGTTTCATGGTAAATGTAAAAATGAGCTTTGTCGATTTTGTCCACATATATGCAAGAATTGTAGACCCATAATTGACGTTTGTAGAACGCTTCGCTGCCCGAAATTTTAGGCCCTCATCTAGTGCCTAACTTCCAAAAAATCGTCTATTTGTTTTCGCTGGTCATTTCATACCATTTTGCAGCTTGAGAGAGACGCATTTGTGTTTGTTTGCAGTAAATTAATCCAAGTCTAATCCCAAGAATTGCTTAAAAAAATATATCAGCCAGTGATACAAGGAAAAAAACAAAAAAAGTAAAAAGATTAGTAACCTTCTTGTGTTGTGCTGTCCAGAAAATCTATGTAAGTACTTTTTGATATTCTTCCTTTGTAGTTACCCCTTTTCCAATCCCTTTTATTTACTTATGATCCAGCTCTCCAACCAAAGGAAGAGTAGCCGTTCGCAAACGTTTCGGTTTATTTCTTACTCTATCTTAAGCCCAGTAATTTATGTCCCCAGTTTCAACCCCCCTATAAGTGATACCCAATGTGGCAGGCAAAATGAACCAATACAAGAGAAGCATGTGTTTGGATATTGCTCCATCTGGTATTGACACACTTTAAAGCTATTTCTATTGGGATGTTATTAATGTACCGATTTAAGGCCAAAAGTTATAATGAATCCTGTATATTATGATAGTGGGTTTTACCGATTGTATTACCCCAAATGTCTGCCAAACACTTGGAGAGATTGTAAGTGGACTTCCAATGTTACCAATAATTGAGCGAAGCTCAATGTTATTTTTATACTTTTGTATTAATTACCTTAATTGTCTCGTTGTAAGATATTAATTTATTTTTTAAGCTTAAGTATATGTATTTTTGATTACACAATTTGTCTAATGACTATCTTTTTAAAGATGCTAGTCAATACAAAAACAGTTGATAGTAAATTCGACAAATAAATGTGGTTTCAAACATATGTATGTTTACTTACACTTCAATTTTAATTGTAATGTAAAAACACTATCACTGATAAAATAATTTGATGTGCTAATAAGCCGTGCAATTTATGTACTAACAAGACATATTCGATATTTTGCAAATATCATTAAATTTTTTTGGGTCATGGGGTCGGCTGCTAATTATGTTCTTAATATCAAATTATATATGTTAATTACACGAATAATGTTAAAATATTATATAATAAGTAAAAACACCTTTGTTATTGCTTTTTAAGCTATATAATTATATTATTATAATTAGAGAAGTTGTTTAATTATTAATTAAATATACGTTTAATATGTTTAAATATTTAATATACCATTAAAGGTTGTAAATCGCATTTTTGTTGTTTGAATATTTTCCCAAAGTCTGCATATTTCTCTTAATCTAGGGTAAACTGCCCAATAATTGGCACTCTAAGGAGATCCTATTAATAAAACTACCTCTAAAATAATCAAGTGCTTTTCATATAATCGATATGTTTTTTTTTATGAATATTTATCTTAGACTTAGGCAAATATGCAAATAAAAAAGTATGAAATATGCGCATACATGCTCATCCATACATATGGATATTTTTAATAAAACACATTTAAGACACATTATTTTAACAAAAAAGAGATATACTTGCTAATATCTTCAAAACTCAACAGTTTTCGAGATAATCGCATTTTATAAATCAACTACATAATTCTGATTTATCTCAATAACTCCAGGCAACGAAAGAAAATTAAAGAAAAACATCAATAGTTCTGAATTTAGGTATAAAATACCTTTCATAAAGTTAATAATCAACGAATTATTAAATAAAATAAATATATCAACAGGATAACATAATAGGATTTGCTAAATAACAGAATAATTGGAGTTTACATCAAACATTTTACGTGTTGTATTAAATTAAAGTCATAATCAAAACATTTTATTTACAAACCAAATTAAGAAATAGTTAAACTAAATAACGTTGAACTTTTTGTCAAAGTAAGTGTTCAATATGTCCACCATTTTCTTTAATTCATTTGTCAATACATTCCATAAAATATCGTCTCATATTAAATAGCATAATTGGTTCTAAAGAAACAGCTGCAGTATTTATTATAAGTGTTATAGATATAATAAGAAGTAATTTTTTAAAATTTTTATGAATTAAATAATTATGTTAATATCTCACCACAAAAATATGACTACCACGAACAATCCAACGTTCAGGAAAGTTTTATTTAAACACTGTCTCACTCCGCTTTCTCTGTAACGTAATGGTGTACCATCTTGTAGAAACTACATATTTCTTATATATAGTAAAAAATAATTACTAATGGTTCCAAACCATAAGACATGCATTTTAAATATAAATTTTGAATGACATTTTACGGATATGCGAATTACCTTGCAATTTGAATGGTAATATTTATTTACATTTTTTATAAAATGATTTTATTGATTTATTGGAAGAATTGTCATCAAACTTAAGGCTAAATATTTGGTTTATACAAGATGGTACACCAATACATTATAGAGAAGGGTGAGTGAGAACAGTATTTAAAAACAACTTTCCTGAACGTTGGATTGTTCGTGATAGTCATATTCCTTGGTTATGTGGTAAGATATTAATATAATTATTTAATTCATAAAAATCCCAAAAGAATACCCATTATTATACTTATAAATACTGCAGCAGTTTCTTTAAAACCAATGATGAGATATATGAGAGAGAACCAATGATGAGACGATATTTTATGGAATGTATTGACAAATGAATTAAAGAAAATGGTGGACGTATCGAACACTTACTTTGACAAAAAATTTAATGTTATTTAGTATAAATATTTCTTAATTTGGTTTGTAAATAAAATGTTTTGATTATGACTTTAATACAAAACGTAAAATGTTTGATATAAAATCCAATTATTTTATTATTTTATCAAATTCTATTATTAATTATCCTGCTGATATATTTATTTTATTTAATATTTCGTTAACTATTAACTTTATTAAAGGTATTTTATAACAAAATTCAGAAGTATTGACGTTTTTATCTATTTTTCTTTTATTTTCTGGAGTAATTGCGTTAAATCAGAATTATGCAGTTGATTAGTAAAATGCGATTATCTTGAAAACTGTTGTGTTCTGAAGTTATTAACAAGTATATCTTTTCTTTGTTAAAATAATGTATCTTTAATATTTTTTATCAAAAATACCGGTCACTTGAAGAACAAAAAAGTTAAGTGCAAAGGTATGCCACGTATGTGACATATGTTGCGCAACTATTGGCTATATCAAAGTATGTATCAAATTATAATTTCTGATATTGAATAGTACCCAGTTGTAAACTTTTATACATAAATGTTTACGAACATGAAAGTTATAGCGAAAAATAAAATTTTAAACTTTCACTTTAACACCCTGTATCGTTTTTAGTATCAACATTTTATTAAAACAAGTGGACTTCAATCGTAATTTTTTAAAGTGTGGAATCTGTGGTTTCTTTTTGTACAATTACTTAAGGACCACCCTGTATAATTTGTATTTAGTTAAGCGGCTAACATGATACTAGTGCAGTTCTGATAATTTATTCGTATGTTTGTCTAGTAAATATTATGCGTACAAATAAAACATAGCCCCCGCGGAACAATCGTATTGTTTTCTGGTAAATATTGTGGTGACGGCCGTTCTGAATTTTCTTAAAAAAGATTTTTTATATGGGAGACTTTAGTCTTTAAATTTGGAGTAACAGCGTCTGATACTTGCGATCTGCGAAAATTTAGGTCTGTTGAATTTTGTAAGTCATGGTAATTGCAGCTATAATATAGTACCACAGCTTCTAGAAGGACTGCAACCAAATTTGGCGTTGAGGCCGACCGTTTTATGAGGTGACAGACTTATTTAAACAATGGTTGTATACATCTTTACTATTTGCCTTGTTTTTAAAGGTTTTTAGGGGATTCTTCTTTTGAAATGTCTCTTTATCCTTCTTTATCAGTTGCTTCTTTTTTTTGTTTATTCTCTGGTTTGAGAAATCCGCAAAATTACAAATTTTTTTGACCTCTTTTTGACCAATCCTACTATACAATATGATAAAACTAACTAGCATAATTTTCCGGGCCGACTATTAAAATTTGAGAGACAATGAAACAATTTATATTTAAATTATATTTATTTTAATATTGTAGAACCTGTTTATTCAATTTATTTTTAATAAAAAATAAACCTGAAAAAAATACACTAGTTTAACCTAATATTTTATAAATATATTTCATCTCCCAAGGGAGTCATCCTAAGAGGAAGTCCCCCTTTCGACATTAACGGCATACTTTTAGGTTCAAACTCTATCTTGGACGGAGTTTCAGGACTTTTTTCTATTTTAAAGTTCATTAGCACGTACGATAATCCTATCGCTAAACTTAGCATCCCAAGGCGTCTACCTAAAAAATAAAATTACGTGTTTAATCAGTAAATTAATCTTTAACATATTTTTAGTTCACATTAAAAATATTCAATTCAACTAATTTAAACATTCAAATATACAATATTCTCTTTTTTATTGGCATTTGTTCTCCTTGGCAAATGCCATCAGTAGAATTCGTAAACAAATCTGATTTTCTAATATACAAAAAATTACACTAAGGCTAATTCTGTATAAACAGGTCCTAAAAATAACAAACAATAAAGTAAATAAGTAAAAGTAATAAGATCCAGGAAAGATACAAATTATTACACAGACGGTCGCGAATGTGTCTGCTTATCTCCCATAAGTCGGGGAGAGAGTGAAATGCCTTTTAATTTATATATATATATATATATATATATATATATATATATATATATATATATTTATATATATATATATATATATATATATATATATATATATATTCAATTTGTATATACAGTGCTGTAAGTTTTGGGTTAGGTATACACTCTAATGGCAACACTGCGAGTCGACGACTTGCCACTACATATCTGCTTCGTTAACTCGTCGTTGCTCGTCGCCCGTCGGCAAATTTGTCATATTGTCATTATACCGTGGTTGTTTAAAGGTATAACAGCGTAGAGTTTTAATTAATTTTTGTAAACTTGTCTGTTTATATGGCCGCGGAAAAAGCTCAAATAATAAAATGGTTTTATATTGGCAATTCTGCGCAACAGTGTGTAGATTTATTTTCTGTGTTTTTTGAGGGAAGACCAATTCCTTGTGTACAGTCATTTTATAATATTTTTAAACATTTTGAGAGTTGTTATTGCCTCAAAAATTGCAGAAAATGTCACGCTCAAGAAGTGTTACCAGAAAAAGTTGAGGAAAGAGAATACCGGGATTCTTGAGAGAATCCCGGTATTCTTGAATACCCGGAATTCTCGGAGAAACACAAATTTGTGCAACAATCGAGGTAGATTCAACACGTTCAAGTAGAAGCGTTGCTAGAGAGTTAGATGTTAGCAATGTTACTGTAACGAAAGTATGGAAAAAGTACGGTTACAACAATTTTAAATATTACGCAGCAGCTTTATCCAGACGATTACTTTCGAAGAATGGAATTTTGTAAAACTCTAATAACGAAGGCTAATAGTGAACCAAATTTTATTTAAAACATTTTATTCACTGATGAATCTTCTGTTTTGTTAGTAGGGAGACACAATCCTTCCATTACGAGGTATTGGGAGCGGGAAAAGCAGCACATAAGTGTTGTTTACCGAACTCAACGTCCTCAAAAAGTTAACGTCTGGACTGGCATTTTAGGAGACCACATAATAGGTCCATTTTTTATTGAGGACAACTTGAATAGTAGAGTATACCTCGATTTGTTACAGAGTCATGTTCTTCCCGCTATTCTCAATCTTCCTGATGTAAATCTGGAGAATGTTTGGTTTCATCAAGACGGCTGTTCAGTTCACAACGCTCGAATTATTAGGGAGTATTTAAACAATACTTTCCCGAATCGAGTTATCAGTGGAACAGGCGATATTAAGTGGCCTGCGCGATCTCCAGATCTTACACCCATGGACTTCTTTTTTTGGGGACATTTAAAAAGCATTATCTACGATCATCCTGAGGCTAGAGCCCAAAATTTGGATGAATTAAAAAATCGAATAAGAGAAGTCTCCAATTCTGTTACAGCAGAAACTCTTTCATCTGTTCACAGAAGTTTTTATGACAGATTGGGGTACTATTCAGCCGTAGAAGGTCAACTATTTGAACCATTTCTGTAGGTCATAAAGAATTATTTTTCATTTTATTAGGAATAATATTTTATTTTTTAATAAGAGTATATTTTTTATTTTATCTTTTTAAAGAAATACGCTTTTATTTTTAATTCAACCACAAAAAAATTTTCACATTAATAAAAATCGATAACAATGCACCGATTAAGTCAGTGCATTTTTATCGAATTTCCTACCATTAAAATCGGCTATACGTAATGAAACATGAGATCGGACGACAGAGAAGTACATCCCAAACGTTGTTATGAGTTACTAAACTAAAATGATTTTCTGTCGGTGCAGATAGTCTCGGGTCGGAGAACGGACATTTGCAACGTTGCCGATTTTAGCGCTCCGTATAGTGTGCAATACCTAATCAAAAACTTAACGCACTGTATATATATATATATATATATATATATATATATATATATATATATATATATTATATATTATATATATATATATTATATATATATATATATATATATATATATATATATATATGTATACATAATAAAATACAAAAAATTACCTATACAAGCTCTGGGTCCTTCTCCAAAAGGAATATAACATTCTGGTACTGTCTCTTCCAAAAATCTTTCTGGATCATACAACTCAGAATTAGGAAAATATTTCTCATCTCTATTTATCGCAAAAGATGGTATTAATACTGTAATTTTATCACCTTCTAGTTTTAAATCACTACCTTCAAATTGATAATCAGAGATAGGTACTCTATCCAGAAAAGGTATAGGAGGATATTTTCTCATTGATTCTAAAAAAGAGTAAAGTATGTTATTTGTTACGTTACAATATAAGTACTGAATAGAAAAGAGAAATGGAATAATCACATAAATTGGCAGACTAAGTGAGAGCGCTAACCAAACTGGCATGGCAAGTGGCAAGTAGCGAGTAGCGCGCGTCAGCATGTTACTTAAAATGTAACCAATAAAAACGAATGATTCAGCGCACACCAAAATGACAGTGACGTCATTTATTCTAATCATTCGTTTGTATTGGTTACATTTCAAGTAACATGCTGGACGCACGCTACTTGGGCTATATCTCACGAACAAAGACTGATATTGAAAAATGCTTAAAACCGTTTTTAGGATACTAAAGGGAAACTAAAATGACGTGAAAGAGAACTCACCCCCATCAACCCCCTAGGCCCCACATTGTTGTGATACGTCATTAAAAATACTAAAAAAAATGCTATCCAATGGTATAAATAATATTTATATAGGGTGAAGCAATAATTGTTAAACGTTAGCTTAAATGGAAAATTTGATGAGGGTTTTCTTGATTCTGTTGATGATCCTGTAAGGTTGTTAATATCGGCCATCTTACTGTGACTTTTGTATGTGTAATGCTATCTCCCGAACTATTATATTTAATGATAAGTGCTCGTCTAAATGTTTTTTTGTTAAATATAAACTTAACTTGTCGTTTCTGCAAAACCAGTTGAAAACTTCTGTTTTTTGGGTTTTGTCAGATTCAATAATTTTGAATTTATTTGAAAATTTTAAATGTCATTAGTTTTCATCATTTGTACGATCAATACTGTCATTCAGCAGTAGTTGTCACGATGGTTTACAGTATACCTGAACGCGTAGAAATCATTTTTATATTTGCCTCCCAGAACAAGTGTTATTTACGAACAGTTCAAATATTTCATGAGAGGCATCCGGACAAAAATTTAAGTCACCTTTACGTTTCCCAAATGGAGTTCTTGGAAATTTTGCAATAAAGCCTACGGCATTAACACGTCAAGTATCTGCAATGACAGGACTTTCACAGGAGTCAGTTAGAAAAATGTTGAAATTACATAAGTTTTACCCGTATAAAAACAAATTATTCAAGAACTAGGCAATGATGATCAAGAGTCTGGATTCCAGACCGACGAATTTAGTTATGTGAACTCATGACTGAAAGAATTCGCGTTCTTACCGAAAATGTTAAAAAATATTAATTTCACTGATTAATGTACTTTATGCTGAATGGTAATGTAAAAAGACAAAACTGTCGGTAATGGAGTGATGCTAACCCGTCTTGATTCAGAGAAGGTCACACTCAATATCCTGAAAAGCTGAATGTTTTGGTAGGAATATCAGGCGATGCTATAAATGGCCTCTTGTTTATACCAGGCAATTTAAGTGGCGAATTTATCTCGATATAATGGAAAACACCATCGAACCTTTAATTGTGCATGAGTTAGAGAACCAATGGGACGATCAAGGCAACCTAGCTCTAGACGAAGATTTGCTGCACTCTCAACAAGATGGAGCACCTACTCACTAAATGGATTGGAAGGAGAAGTCCTATTGAGTGACCACCGAGATCACCAGACTTACCGCCACCTAACTTTTTTCTATAAGGTCACCTCAAGTCAGTTGTTTATAAAACTCAACCTGCATCACCTGAGGAATTGTGAGAAAGAATTACGCAAGCATGTCGCGTTATTACTAGAACAACATTTGCCAAACTTCGTGCAGAATTTAATAATAGGCTGTATTATTGTTTAAAAAACAACGGAACCTACTTTGAACATTTACTTAATTGACATTTTTAACAAATCTGTAGTAATTAGTAGTAGTAATCTGTAGTAATTTAACAATACATAAGAAGGGAAGTAAACATGCATGCGACAATTACCAATGAATCGCAATTCTTAGCACCATCTCAAGAAGTTTAAGGAAACTCATCAAAAAGAGAATGGAAAATAAATTCTGTGATATGTAGGTCGAAGAACAGGCCGGTTTTAGACCAGATAAATCAACATTAATGATCTGTTTACGGTTACCCGGCTAATTAAAAAAAAATAGTACGAAATCAAGCAATGCATCTTCTCTACATGGACCGTAAAAAGGCTAATGATAGTATGTTCATAAAGGCTGTTCAAGACCTCTACAAGAAAAATACAAGTAAAATAAAGAAAGGTCAGGAGTTATCCTAGGATTACACTATCAGCACAGTACTCAAACAAGGATGCTGCGTGGCTCCTACTTTGTTTAACATCTACTCGGAGCAAGCTATGAAAACGTGAAAAAAAAATGCAAAAACATGGGAATTCCTCTAAACAGCGCAATATTGTACATATTGAGTTTTGCAGACGACTAGATAGTAATTGCCCAAGACTATAAAGACCTCGAATATATGACCCGTAAACTGATCGAAAAATACGAACTATGGGAGCGAGAAGTAAATATCACGAAAACTGAATACATGTGTATTGGTGGAATTCAACAAAATCTAATCTTGAAAGAAATACAGCGAGAAATCAATCACTGTCAAAAATACAAATATTTAGGCATGCAAATAACCAACGATTGCAAATTAGAAGAAGAAGTTAAACATAGGAATATCCAGGGAAGACAAACCATTAGGCAATTAAACAGTATACTGTGGGATAAACCAATCTCCAAAGAAAACAAATACAAAATTCATAACAGCATCATAAAAAGCATTACATATGGAAATAAGGTATGTGCACTGAAAAGAGAAAACTTAAAAGCATTAGAAAGCATCATAAATGGACTTCTGAAAAAGAGCGGATGGAAAAATCAAAATTAGACAGAGTTAGAAACGAAAGAATACGAGAAATTATGGATGTTAAGAACAATGTAACAGAGGACATCAGAATAAATCTAAGATGGTATGAACACGTTCAAAGAATGGATGAACACAGAATACCAAAGAAAGTATTGAACTGAATACCGCATGGAAGAAGAAACCTAAGTAGACCATGATTAAGTTAGAGAGAAGGAATAAAGATAAAGACTTAAGGTCGAGGAGAGTTGAAGAAAACCTTTGGAACGAAAAAGATAAATGGAAACTGGAAATCAGAAGACGACGTAGAACGTTATAAGCTGATTAATTTATTGATGTAATCATGACCGTAAGACTCCACACATGAACAAATTATATAAAAATCAATAGAGGAACCAAACAAAGAGACATGTTATCTCCCAAACTCTTTACGGCAGTTCTAAAACATACTTTCATTACAGCAGAATAGTAGAACCTAAAGGTATCAACGTCGGCGTCGGCGGCGAAATGCTCTCACACCTACGATTTTTGGATGACATTGTTCTGATACCGCATGACTTAAAAGTAATTAAAACTATGCTTACTAAGTTATGCCGCCTGTAACCAAGTTTATTTGAACATAAATTTTGAAAAGACACAATACATGACAAATCTGATACCAATCAAAAATCCCGAAGTCGATTGCAATGAAACAAGGCTAGGTCAGAAATATAAAGACTTAGGTTATAAAATCAAAATTGCTTCTTCTTCTTCTCGTGCCACTCCTAGCGGAGATTGGAAATCATCATGGCCACTGCGACTTTGTTAGCAGCGCGCCTGAAAAGTTCAATTGAACTACACCCGAACCATTCACGTAGATTACGAAGCCACGATATTTTTCTTCTTCCCACACTTCTTTTGTCCTTAATTTTGCCCTGCATGATGTTTCTTAAAAGTTCGTACTTTTCACCTCTCACAATGTGCCCCAAGTATTCCATCTTTCTAGTTTTTATCTCATTTAGAATTTCGCACCTTTTGTCTAAAGTTTGGAATACTTGCATGTTAGTGACGCGGTCCATCCATGATATTCTGAGAATGCGCCTATAGCACCACATCTCGAAAGCTTCGATGTTTTTTACGGTCAACTGTTTTAGTGTCCAAGCCTCAACTCCATATAACAGGGTAGAAAAGACAGAACACCGCAGCATTCGTATTCGTAACTTTATATTGATATCACGATTGCAAAATAGTTTGCGCATTCTATTAAAGACTGATCTAGCGATTTCTATTCTACATCTAATCTCTTTTGTTTGATCAGTATCGTCTGTGATCCAAGCACCTAGATATTTATAACAGGGCACACGCTCAATCGTTGTATTGTCTATTACAAGATTAGCTCTGATGTTCTTTGATTTCGTGATTACCATAAATTTAGTTTTTTTCAAATTAATTTTCAAGCCGTAACTGTTACAGTATATATTGAGACTTTGAACGAGATGTTGTAGTTCTACTAGCGTTCCCGTTAGGAGAACGGTATCGTCAGCATACCTTATATTGTTCACAGATAGCTTCACTATATAGATTAAATAAAAGTGGCGATAAGATACATCCCTGCCGGACTTCTCGACGGATTTGAATTTCTTCTGTTAGTCTGCCCTCAACCTTGACATTTGCTGTTTGATTCCAATATAGATTGCATATAATTCAATTCAAAATTGCTAGGGACAACCAAACTGCTGAACTGCAAAGAAGAGTTATTTTAGCATGAGCAGCAATAAGGCTCTATCAGACTTTTGACCAATGTGTGCTTCCAGTCATTACTTACGGCACCGAAACATTTTGTTTAACCCAGGCTATAGCAACCAAACTCAGAGTAACCCAAAAACGAGTGCAACGTTCGCTACTTAGACTAACTTTTAGAGACAGAGTTAGAAACGAAGAAATAAGGACAGGCGTCACAGATGTCATATAGGGTATAGCATGGCTGAAGTGGCACTGGGCAGGCCATGTAGCCAGAATGAATGACCTGCGCTGGACCCAAAAAATTACAGTTGGGAGACGAGTTGACATAAGAAAGAGACTTAGACCAATTATATGATAGACAGATGATGTAAGATTCTCAGAACCGACAGAACTGGGAGAAATTAGGGCAGGCCTATGTTCAACTCTAGACGCAGAACGCTGTATGATGATGATGATAATTGGAATTGGATGTGAAGTTGTAGTGGGGTAAGTTACAAACGGAAAGAAAAAAATTATTAAGTGGGGTACGACTTAGTTACGTTAGGATAACTTACGAAAAATTAGTTTGGGATTGGTTGTCAGGTTAGCTTAGACACGATTTTCTCTTCCGAGACTTGCTAGCTGCCACTGATAGTAGAGTATTTTTATTGTCAATAATTAAGACTAAAAGTTTAAATACGACAATACTAAAAAAACTTACCTTTAATACACATATCTAGATATTTATTATCTTGCATTCCCTCATAGGTGATACCTCCGTACTTTTTTATATTCTCTTGGATATCCTTTCTTAATCTAGTTTGTATATATTCACTTACGGCTAGTTCATATAGAGTAAAAGAAAATAGTGTATTTAGGGTATCTTTACCAGCTATTAGAAATAATATTGCACCTGCGATGGACGTGTTCATTTCTATAATAAATAAATTTATAATAATTACATTATAATGAAGTTTATTGGTCCATTCATAAACATTTATATTTTGGTACACGCAAATCTAGTTGTTAATAGTTTCTGAATTTGTGACGCAGTTTACTATTTATATTGGGAATAAGCCACAATTTTACTTTACAATAAGTTTAATTGACGTTTCGATTTTCGCTCGGAAAATCGTTTTCAAAATCCAAACATTAATTAAGTGGAAATAGAAACCTCAAATAATCTTATTTTAGAGTAAAAATGTAGCCTATTTTCTAAAACATAGCAAATAGTTTCTATATTGTTAGAATAACCTAATTAAAGACACGGGTGCAAAACGGGGACGAATTATACGACTACGAATTATATGAATTTATATGATTTATTGATATGTAGAGGTATAATAGATTCTAGTACATTATATATAATATTAATACAGTGTGGAAACCACTTATGGAATAAAATTGTTTGTGTCCTTATTATAGAAAATAATCAAAAACTCTGAGACACGTTAACTTTTAAATTTAAATGTGCGCTTTTTAAACATAAGTTTAAATGTACAGGGTGATCCACGCACGTCTGACATAGTCCATAATCCTTATTTTTAATGAAACACCCTGTATATTTTTATGTTTTTAAAATACTTTTAACAACCTGATTTCAATGCACTATATCATGTAGGGTCTATAATAAATAATACAAGCTAAAATTTGAAATTAATAATTCAGCACGTGTTATGATATTATTTTAAATTAGCCAAATACAGACAATAGACTTCTACTCTAAGTGTCAGTACACTGTATATTGGGGAAAATTTCTGTTTAGTAACCGTGTTAACATTTTTTGTCACGAATAGCTAAAAACTGTATATATAGTCTGCCAATTAAATTAAATCGGTAAATAATGCGGACTGTTATCAATCAGTTGACATGCTGTTGACATTTTCCATTAAAATAATTGTTATGTTCTAGATAATGCATTGTATTGAAGGATTTTTTTCCATTCATTTTAATAATCATTTGCCAAAATTCGGAAATAGAAGAAGATGAATTTAAGGACGGGACATACGCTTTCCATGCTTCTTTTCTGTTTTTCTTCAATATAATATATCTACACTAGGCTCTCTTTTGCTTAAATTCGAGTTGGTTTTTTGTAGTGTGGAAATTTTTTTAAATTTGTAAAAAGTTCTTTTTGACTCTCTAATTGCCACTTTACATTCCTGGTTCCACCTAGAGGATGTTTTTTTTGGAAAATTTATAAAACCTACGGACAATTCTGTAGCTGTTGTTATAAGCTGAACAAAACTGGAAACTATAGAATTAATATTTGCAAGGTCATCACTAGGAGGAGTTAGCTCTGATATGGATCGAGGTATTAAAGAATAATATAAAGGCCAGCCGGCATTCTTTAGATGCCATTTATTAGATGGAGCGGAAGAGGAAGCTGTATTGATATTCGTTATTAATATTGGGAAGTGGTCACTTCCATGTATATGAGATGTGACTTGCCAAGATAGTCCAGGTTGTAATACGCTCTATTCTCGAGCCATTTCTAGATTAGGAGTTTTAGGTTTGTATAAAAACCATAACAACTGGTTTGAGTGCTCCGACTTCTTCAAAACTGGATTGGTTTGATATTTTTAACTCTAGAGTACCCTAAAGTGACTCTAGAAGTCATATAAAAGCATACGGGTTGGATTTGAAAGAGCAAAATGAAACTTTAAATAAAATGGAGAAGACAATATTAGCTGTAAGAAAAATTGGATCTAACTCTTTACTTCTATTTCAGCGAGGTCTAATTATTTCTATACGATTTTAAAAACAACTTTTTGTTGACTTCAAAAATGACTTTAATGTAAAATATATACCGGGTGGTGAATCGTCAAACAGGCCATAGGAAACTCAATGGGAAACTTTAAATTGTTGAATTGCTGCTTCCCTAATTATTTTAGATTAAAAGTCATAAAAAACTATTTGTAGAGGACTAAAATCTGAATTAAAAACAAATGTTAAAACCGTTTCTACGAATCAAATGTACTTCAAAATTTTGCAAAAATATAATAGATTTTTCAGACCAACCCTAAAAGTTAGGCCACATGTAATACAAGAATATATAACGTAACGTGTGTGTTTTATCATATTGATGTCTGATGTTTGACAATTTGAATTGTCATTTTTTTATTTTATGATTAAATTATAAACAATGAATTTTACTAAATACTATTACTACTAAACAATATTACTTTGTGAACAATAAATTATATTGTTTACAAATCGATCAATATAATGAAATGTAGCAGTTGACATGCTGTTGACATTTTCCATTAAAATAATAAATTCTTAATTGAAAACTAATTTCTTGCAGAAATAAAAATGAAATATTTAACTAAGGCCCACCGAATTGAGATTTGAAAGATGATCGGTTACAGGAAGAATTGTAGAAGTCAAGTTAAAGGAGTAAACTTATTTAATCACAGGTATCCTTAGTTGCCTAATATTTCACAAGGTATTGAGAGAAGAACTTGGATATGTCAAACCACTAACAAGAAAATCGAACTTCATTGAAGATGAAGTAAAAATGGATATTTTGTTAAGTGTCGCAGAGAATCCAACGTCAAGTTCACGTCAAATTGCACGTCAAAATAATGTGAGATACACAACTGTCCTAAGGTGTCCCCATGAAGAAAACTTCATCCGTATAAATTGACATTTGTGCAGGAGCTAACAGAAGACGATCCGGATCGTAGAATGGATTTCTGCAAAAGAATGAGGGATAAAATTAACAAATGAAATAGCTCTTGGCACAATTCTTTTTTCTGATGAATCAAAATTTACATTGAACGGGGAGGTAAACTGACAAAACTGTAGATATTGGTCAGCGGAGAATCCTCATTGGATGCGTGAGACACACACTCAGTATCCTCAAAAGTTGAATGTTTGGGCAGGTATTATAGGAGATCATATTATTGGTCCTATATTTATAGATGATAATTTGACAGCGGAAAAATATTTAAGCATGCTAAGAGACGATGTTCTTCCTAAGTTGGCTAACTTATATCCCAATCCAATAGATCCGACCCTACCGCATGAAACTGTCTGGTTCCAGCAGGACGGTGCAACACCCCATTATGCTTTAATGGTGAGAAATTCCTTGAATGAAATCTTCTTCAATAAGTGGATTTGATGAAGAGGACTAGTGAGCGGCCAGCTAGGTCGCCAGATCTTACGGCTTTGGATTTTTTTGTGAGGTTATCTCAAGAACAAAGTATATGCAACACAATCAACTATCATTTGATACCTCAAAAAGTAAGGATAACTACAGAAATACGGAATATTTCACCTCAAACCTTAAAGAAAGTTCGGAATGAGTTTTCTAGGAGACTGTGTTATTGCTAACAACAAGGTGGAGAACATGTTGAGCATTTATTTTAATGTAATCCAATCAATTACCTCGGGTATTCTATGAATTCATTGTCTTGAAGAAAATACCTAATTTCAAAATTTCACCTTGTATTATTCATAATAGACCCTACTTGATATAGTTCGTTGAAATCAGGTTGTTAAGGAGCTTTTAAAAACTATAAATATACAGGATGTTTCATTTAAAATACAGATTATGCACTATGCCAGACTTGCATTGATCACCCTGTACATTCAAATTTATGTCTAAAAAGCGTACATTTAAATTTAAAAGTTAAGATATCTCAACGTTTTTTATTATTTTCTGAAATAAGGACACAAACAATTTTATTCCATAAGTGGTTTCCACACTGTATATTCACAAAATATGCATTTTTGGAAATTTTAGTGCATAGTAAAAATAAAACATTGGAGCTGTCACCTGTTAGACCAGATTACTAAAAAAACATCAAACAGAAATTTAACTGCAATTTATTATCAAAATGTTAAAAATAACAAATAAACATAAGAAATTAATCACATGTAAAATTATCTTCTTCATGCTAAGTTGGTTTTTTTCTGCTCAAAAAGCACATTTTTTGTTGTAAATTCCTTTTTTTTCTTTGAGTATCGCGCCCAAATAAGGAGTAGATAGCTTCCATGATATTTCCCTTGAGTATTAACTGTAGTATCCAGTATCTGCTCACCTTCCCCTTGATCTACTGTGTTTAAGACTTCTATGACTGACATGCGTTAAAACCTTGATATTTTGAGCATTCTACGACATGACTACATCTCGAACGCTCTATATTGTTCATCATATTAACCTTAATTATTCAGGTTTTACATCCATATAGTAAACAGGATACATATAACATTTTAGGGACTTAATTCTTAGTTAAAAGTTAAGCTGAGAATTGCACAGTATAGATTTTTTTTCGACTTTATAGATGGGGGTCTAGAATCTTCAAAAGACATCTTAGTCCATGACGCAGCGTGACTGACCTTCTTCGTACTCCCGGTGATAGTTCTCGAAGTATCTGCTAAAAAAAACCCTTGTCTGTCATCTATCAATCCGGAAGCGGAATGGCCGTATCACTCCTAGGTACTTTACGTGTGTCTTGGGTGTTAGACATGCTCCCGCACATTGTAATTCAACACTTTGCCCGTTAGTTTTATCCTTTAGAATGATGGCTTCGGTTTTCTCTGCTGCAAGTTTTAATCCGTGCTGCGTCATCCGTTTCTTTACGACGCGGTTTGCGTTCCGGACCCGGTATTTGAGATCTGGCTCATTCCGGATCACTACCAGTACAGCGAGGTTATCAGCGAATGCGAAGGGGGTTGTACCTTCTCACTGTACCCGCATTTACAGTTTATAACCCCGTCATATGTCCGGTTCCATAGCGTCTCCCCAAGACAAATCCCTGGGGGACCCCGGCCGTCACGTCCACGATCGTGCCCTTTTTCACCATAATCTCTCTGTCGGACAGATACTTCGCCACCACATTCATCAGAAGTAGTATAAATGTAAGTTTCATAAATGCTCCTATAGCAAATTCTATTCGAATTTTAATTTCTTCATCTGGATTTAGTGTCTGGTTTACCTAACATCCTTGGTATTTAAAATGATAACTTTTGTAATCGGCACATTCTAAAAAATTAGACGTTGAATAGGGCTAACGTCTTGTTTACTAACCACAAATAACTTTGTCTTTGACGTTTTAATGCCAAGTCTGTTATTAAAGCCATATCTTTGATACTTTCAGCCATGATTGCTGTATCATCTGTATATTTAATGTTGTTAATAGTTTCTCCTCCAATTTGAACTGCACATTGTCGTTCCAAGGTTTCGTTAAATATTATTTCCGACTAGACGTTAAAAAATGTTGGGGATAACACAAAACCGTGTCTGATACCTCTCTAAAAGGAAATTTTGTCTGTCTCTTTGCCTTCTACTTGATTTCAATATAAATGTTGTACAAGATCTCATGTCTCTGTCTTTTATTATTTCTAGATACTTAAACAGAATATCATGTTTTACCGTACCAAACGCTTTTTAAAAAATCCATAAAGCAGATGTAAATTGGTTTCTGTACTTCCCATGATCTTTGAAGTAATGTTCGCATTAAGAACAAAACTTCCCTTGTTCCCAATTCCCTTGTTCTTTGAAACCGAATTGTTTGTTTCTTTACATTTTTTTTTATTTACAAAATTGCTTCAACCACTACATTAGCATGGTACAATAAATTACATAAATGTTAATATGTTACCCTATATTTAGTGAAGTAGTTCTACATTTTGTAAAAAGTTTATAGTTTTGTAATTATTGAAGCCGTTTAAGCACTCTTTGGATGAAGTGGATAATTTAGCTTGAAGTCGTTCTAGGGTGTACAAAGGGCAGTCCAGTAGCACATGTTTCACTGAAATTACACAATCACAACTGTAGCACATGGGAATTTGTTCTTTATTTAGAAGGTAATCGTGTGTTAACTTTGTATGGCCTATACGTAATCTAGAGATGCATACTTGGTCTCGTTGCTTGAATGTGAGTTTGTATACAGCTACCTCTTGCTTAATGTTTTTCATGGATGTCTCTGAATTGTTCCAGTGTAGTTGCCATTCCTCGCTTAGTTCTGACATTATCAGCAATAGAATGGGATGGTTTGTGTATAACTGTTTCATAGAGCTGAGAGCACCTAAAGAGTCAGTTATTATCAAAGAGTTTTGTATGTTTTTATTATTTACAAATGTTATTGCTTGCAAAATAGCAAGAATTTCTGCGAAAAACATGGTCGATCGTAGGGAAAGTGAGAAGGAGTAGTCTTGGTGTAAAGTTGTAAAAGAAGTCACTACCCCATTGTCAGATTTAGATGCGTCGGTAAAAATGAGAAAGTTATGAGAGTTTAATTTCTCTACTGCTTTCTTTTTAAATATACTACGTGGTGTGTCATATTTGTTATTGATAGTAAGACTTGTATCGCAAATAGGCAGCTGTATTCTCCAAGGGGATTGATGATTAAGGTTAGTTACATTGTAAGTCCCAGGAAAATGTATGTTTAAACTATTTTGTAATTTTTGGATCCGGATATAAAACGGAGGACTTAATCTTTGTGAGGTGTTAAATGTCGATGTAAATCTGTCAGCTAACGTGTTTTTAAATGTCGGTATATGTGGATTGGCTGACAATTTAGCCGCATACACAAGGCTGAGGTAGTTTCTTCTTAGTTGAAGGAAAGGTTCTCCTGATTCACAATATATGAGTCAGATAAAATTAAATTATTAGAAGAATTTTTCAATTAGTAACAAAAAAACAAAATTTGTTTAATTTAAGTACTAATGTTTGTATTTTGAGAACGATTTCCGAAGTGGAAATTGAAACGTCAATAAACGTACTTTAACCTTTAATTGTGGCTTATTCCCATTTAAATAGTGATTAATGTAAAATGTATTTTAAAATACGAATTCTAAATAAAAATATTAAATATAATTACAATATCCGCAAGAGAAAAATGACGACTATTGTAAAATAAATGTCTAAATGTTATTCATAGTCTCAAGTATGATACGTTTTTCCTTTGTTTCAAATTCTTCACATTTTACCGGCCTTTCATATTTAATTTATGTTTTGTACCAATATTTATTTTATTTGTAATACACACAATCAAATCGTAGATTCACATATTTATTTATATAATTTTACAAATTACTTTTTAATTTTTAAACCCCGTTTTCACGGAAAATTTCGAAGTTGTTCATCACAGTAATGGAACAACGTTGCCATATGATGCATTGTTAAGTGATGATACACACAAGTCACCTGGCGTTGCATCGCTATGACGTTATTTATTATTATATGTACTAAAATTATTTTATCTTGTACATAACTAATTTAAAATTGGTTATATGTGTAAAGGTCCTTTACTTTGTAATATATTCGTATAAGGACGAGGCCTACATATCGTTTACTACGTCTAATCATTCAGGTCAAAATAGAAGGAAAATACTGGGTTAAAAAACAACTATTCTAGCTGCGAAAGCACTAAATAATAGACAGATCAAATGGTAGAAGACTTATTTCATGTAACTAATGACTAAGAAGAATTTCTACAGCTTGAAAGCAAGCATGACACTTAAAGAAGAAGATAAACATGTGTAATAAATAGGTAGTAATAAAACTTACCTTTAGTTACATTCATTCCTTCTTCTAATTGTCTCACCCCTTTATTGGCAAAATCAACATAATTCAGTGGTTTTCCATTATAGTGATCTCTAGCTTTCATTCCTTGTTTGAAAATATCTTCGAAAATCCTCAATGAACTATCCTTAAAGAAATTTAGCTTTAAATGCTTCACCCATGATGGTTTGACAAAAAAAAGGTTTTGAACAATTGCATTTCTAAGACTAAAGCCATTGAGTTTTGTCACAATAGGTTGTAATGAAGTGGGTTTATCGCCAAAACCATCAAGATTAACTCCAAAAAAGCATTTAAATATAAACTCATCTGTAAAAATGTTTCCAAGTCCTCTGCCATCTATTGTTTTCTTATTTTTGTGCAAATATTGTACCATTGCTTTAGTAATTTCAGATACTTCAGTATGCATATTTTTTAACATCGCAGAAGTAAAAACTGGAGTCAGTCTCGTTCTCACTTTTTTCCAATGTGGATATTTCATAAAAACTACTGAGTCCTCCATAAGGCGATGTGTAGGTGTAGGCGGTCTTCTGTTGGCAAAAATAGCAGAATCTTTTATTAGAACATCTTTAATTAGTTTGGGATCTTTTAAAACTAACATCGGTTCATCAAAAAGAAATACTCCAAAATATGGGGCATCCATTTTGTCATAAAGCTTTTTTAATTGCTCCTGAATAGTTATTTTAAATGTGAAAACATCTTTGAAGTTGCCAAATACGAGTGTAGGTTTAAAATACGGAACATTTCTTTTTTCCCAATAATCAAAATATCTTGTGAGATATTTATAAATCAATAGGATTATCAAGGAAATACATATTGTAGTGTCCATTATCCATGACGACGTTAGAAGCATCTAAAATAATTAGGAAAATGTTTTTAAAAATGTTTAATAAATAAAAATATTTAAACTATTCAATGTAAATTATTAGTAAAAAATAGTCACCCAAATTAATAGTATAACAATTGCTATAAATTTTTTAATACTCACTATTTTCTATATGATATGATTGAAATAGTTTGGTTTATTTCATTTGTTTGTAAAATGAAACGAGTAATCAAGGAACTGTGTAAATTTCATTGTATAGTTCGTTGCAAGATATTTCGGATTAATTATTCTTCTAGGTATAGTTTTATACAGGGTCGAACGTAGATATATACTGATACATTTTATTTAAATTACGGCAATTCCACAAAGTAAAAGAAAAATACATACAGAGTGGCCCAAAAGTCTGGAAACGGCTAATTATCTCGTAAAATGCTAATCATAATTGTACAAAATTTGAGGTACACCTATTTTGGGATACGGAGATTCCATATTTGATATTTACAATGTTGCCAGATTTGCCGTTTTTGCTTATATTATTAGTAACTTTGGTTTTTCAAATACATCACCCTATATATTCTGTCATTATTGGAATCTCCTATTCAATACAAGTTCAACTTTATGTAACATTTATGATTTTATGTAATTTGAAAGGTCATAAATACATAAAACCGAAGTCTGACAACGCCTAAATTGTTTCAATAAATTTTTTAATACTCACTATTTTCAAATACATTAAAACGTAACAATTGATAGTTTAGAACATTTTTTAACATAGTAGTTACGTTATTAAGTGTTCAAAATGTGCTCAATTTGTGAGTTGACAGCACCCTAATCGATGGTAGAAGGCGTCTACCACATTTCTCCATGATTGTATAGAAATTATTCGAGATTCATTAATAATTCGTTGCCTTACTTGACAGATTCAGTTTTACAACTAATTTTGCAAGTATCCAAATAATTTGTAAACTGAAATCGGGTGAACGAGGAGGCCATACAATTCTACCTTGTCTACCAATTTATCGTCCAGGAAATATCTCATCTAAATATCGCCGAACATCTACACCAACTATCTGACGTTAAATTTCTTTCGACAAAAAATGACCCAATTGAATAAGTAACTACTATATCTGACCATACATTTAATTTTTGTGGTCTTTGAGTATGGTTTTCACACATTCAGTCTTCAGTGTGAATTTACGTCACACCAGTACCTTAAATTGTGTCGATTTACACTTCCACACAGTGTAAAAGTTGCTTCATCGGAAAAACATATTCTGTTAACGAAATTTTAATAATTTTCAATTTTATCTATAATTACATCAGTAAACTCTAATCTACGACCAAAGTCATCTTCACTTAATTCGTGCAATAAGTTAATTTTGTATGATTTAAATTTATTTTTACGTAATAAACGTAAGACTGAAGAATGACCTACATCATGTACTTGTGCAACCCTGCCTGAGGATGTATGTGGATCTTCAACAAAACTTTGCTTATATCTGAAGTTTTGTTGTCATTGATAACTGGGTTCAGTCAACCTGATCGGTATCTATCTTTTACTTCTCCAGATTCCTCAAATCGCTTTACAGTTTTTTGTACCGTCGTCTTATGAATAGGAGAACGGTTTAGAGAACGGCATTTTAGAGAAGCAATTTAAATTGCAGAACTTTTTGAACCACAACTACTGTCAATTTTAGTTCATAATTTAAATGGTGAACAAATGTCAAAATCACAGCATTCTCCATTTAAATATTTAAATTTATTAAAATCTACATATTTTGCACTGTTTTATGTATTTAAGATCTTTCAGACTACATAAAATCAAGTGAACATATGGTTGAACTCGTATTGAATAGCTGAACTCGTGTGAAATTCACACTGAATGCGTGAAAACCATACTCAATGACCACAAAAATTAAATGTATGGTCAGTTATAGTAGGTACTTATTTAATTGGGCCATTTTTTATCGAAAGAAATTTAACGTCAGATAGTTGGTGTAAATGTTCGGCGTTATTTAGATGAGATATTTCCCGGACGATAAATTGGTAGACAAGGTAGAATTGAATGGCCTCCACGTTCACCCGATCTCAATCCTAAAGATTATTTTTATTGGAGATACTTGAAAAATTCAGTTTACAAAACTTAACCAGCAAGTCTTGCATAGCTAAGGCAATGAATTATCGATGAATCTCGAATAATTTCTAGACAATCATGGAGAAATGTGGTAGACGCATTCTACCATCGATTAGAGTGCTGTCAACTCACAAATGGATCACATTTTGAACACTTAATAACGTAACTATTATGTTAAAAAATATTCTAAACTATCAATTGTTACGTTTTAATGTATTTGAAAATAGTTAGTATTAAAAAATGTATTGAAACAATTTAGGCGTTGCCAGACTTCTGTTTTATGTATTTAAGACCTTCCAGACTACATAAAATCATAAGTGTTACATATGGTTGAACTCGTATTTAATAGGAATTCCAATAATGACTGAATATACAGGGTGATGCCTTTGAAAAACCAAAGTTACTAGTAATATAAGAGAAACTGAAAATCTGGCAACATTGCAAATACCAAATATGGAATCTCCGTATCCCAAAATAGGCGTATCTCAAATTTTGTAGAATTATATCTAGTAATTTACGAGATAATTAACCGTTTCCAGACTTTTGGGCCACTCTGTATAAGTAATAGTTATATATTAAAATACATATTTAACATAGTGAAAAATACAAAAAAAACTAATTTTAAACTTCACTATCTGACCACTGACAGAGAACCACTGACAAAAGGAAGCCAGGCAGGGTCGTTAGTGGGCATTAGTACTTAAGCTACCCTTAACACAAAAGATAGATTAGGCTAAGTAGTAAGAAGTGACGTTTATTTTAATACAAGTTTGCCTAGAAGTATACCATCGATGCTGTGCATTTACCCAGTACGGACAAGTCGCTTTGAGGCAATCTATATTATAATTGCTTATAGGCGAGCGGTTTACCCCTATAAGCAGAGCTTCAACCGACTAAAATTCTTTTTGCATTTCTAATGCACCAAACCTGTTTTTATTCGATTCTTTATATTTTTCCAAGATGAAGTGTATTTTTTTTAATTTTTACAATTGGGTCGGCAATTGTTATTAACAAATAACTTATACAAAAAGACAATTTCACCGAATTGTTTCGGAATCATTTTTTAGGTGTATCTCATCAAAATAAACACTTTTTCTTTCTTGATAATTTTTTGAAATTGCTTCCTTTTTGAGTTATTTGCATTTTTTGTTGAAAAAATGCCTGTGATTGTTGGAATTTTTTTTCTAAAAAGCTACTAAATGAATTGCAATTTTACAAATAGCCATTTTAAACCGTCGAGTACAAGTTAGAATATTTTGACAAGGAATTGTATGTAATATTTGTATTGAATTAATTTTTTAAATTTAAACAAATATTTATACGCGCCGCATGCCTGTATCGCCGCAACCGCTGTACACAATTAGCGGTAGACTGCTCGAAAGGCATATTCAAAATATTTGGGTCCACGTTTTTAGCAAGACAGAAAAAAATTATCCTTGTCAAAATATTCTAACTTGTACTCGACGATTTAAAGATTACAAAGCTATTTGTAGAATTGCAATTGATTTGGTAGTTTTTTAGAAAAAAAAAATCAATTGCAAATGCAATCCCAAAAATCACTAATTAAGGCATTTTTTCAACAAAAAAATGCAAATAACTCTAAAAGGAAGGATTTTTCGAAAAATTATCAAGAGAAAAAAAGTGTTTATTTTGATGAGATACACCTAAAAAAATTGATTCCGAAGCAATTCGGTGAAATTGATTTTTTGTATAAGTTATTTGTTAATAACAATTGCCGGCCCATTTGTAAAAAAATACATTTCATCTTGGAAAAAAATATAGAATCGAATAAAAAAGGTTTGGTTCATTATAAATGCAAAAAGAATTTTAGTCGGTATATTCTGTTTCTAAGCGTCTTTTGATGGGCAAATCGCTCGCCTATTATGGTTGTCGTTTTAAAGAATGCTATGATTTTTGTGATGGGTACTTATATTAAATTAATGTTAAGTTGACAAATAAAATTAAATTATTAGAAGAATTTTTTATTACCAAGTACAAAAACAATTTTTTTTTAATTTGACAACGATTTCCGAAGTGGAAATTGAAACGTTAGATTAAACTTACTTTAAAGTAAAATTATGGTAGTATTCATCAGATTTTCACTTTTTTGTGAAAAATATTTTAACCAAAAACTAACAAATTGGTGGTACATAAAATATTGTATAAATTTAAGTATGTGATTCGCCGTGAAACTCTTTTAATGTATTATTTGATATTAAAAAAATCTATTGTTTAATTTATTAAATTTATATCTAGTAGAAAGGAATTGGTACAAAAAAAATAACTTGGTGTAAAATTTACCACTAAAATGTGATATAAGGTGGAGTTTTTTGTGTCAATCAATTATTATTTTAAACCTTGTTGGTCCGCGTTATCCAATAATGGATGCTAATGGAAACTAATTTCACTAACACTATTACCTTCAACGTCAAAACTCTGTTCGAAGAAATTTTTACTGATTGTGAAAAACTGAAATACAGTTTTAGTATATATAATCTCTGAAAAATTGTTACAATAAATATTTTAAACAAAATATAGAAAGGTGAAATTATTACCAATGATATTATTGCCACCTTATCTTTGCCAGTGTCGTCCAATTGTTCTTTGTAGGGTAAACTGTCCTACAGTAAATCACTTTTTGTATAGATGTTTGGTAAGTACTACTTTATGTTAATTGTTATATTTGAGAAATCTTATGAAACAGAAAGATAACACAGGTCTACAAAAAAAAAAGTTTTTGAAAGATGTTTTATCACGTAAGATATTTTAGCAAATTAAAAAATAAAAAAAAATACTAAATGTGCTTATAAATAAATTTATTAATATATTTTAAAAATAAGAGTAATGCTCAAAATAAAGAAAACTACATATTTTGTATGCACAACTTAATGAA